ACAAACAAAAATAGACAAAATTTGAGGAAGGAACAAGATCAAATTGAACATTCTTAAAAAGGCCCACCAAGTAACATAACATAATTCATCTATTCCCATATAACCATACCAGATGCGAAAGGAACATCACCTGAATCAAGGCGTTAGAGGGCACGCGCCTTGAGCCGACGCTCAAATCGGGTCGGACCGGGACCGATCGGTTGCACGGCCAATCAGCCGAAAGACTGCTGAAAGAAGCTCGAAAAGCTGCAACAGTTTCCATTCTCAACAACCTACAGCACAAAAATGATTCGAAAAGAGCAGTTCGATCAAGATCCTCCCAATAATTTTTGTAGAAGCTGCACAGCGAGATGTAAAAATCGAAAAAAACAATTTAGCTTGATAAGCGAAAGCCGGCTTTATTCTATGTTGAGCTTAAAATGAATTTTGAGATATTGGTAGCTGGTTTTGGGCGAGAAATTCATGGGAATTCGTCGTTTTAAAACACAACACGGCATAAGCTGTGGCCAACTTTGACTGATAATGAACCATGAAGCAGATCCACTTATTATATTTAATATTTAATAATATATTCATTACGCAACTGAATTTTTATGGATCTAGCCTTTTTTATTAGCGTCTTAAAATTTATTAATTAGATAGACTTGAATAATTTAAATGAGATATAAATAAAATGATATAATCAGCGCATGGGAATGGATCATATGAGAAAGAGAGATGGTGAAAAAATAAGATTAAGTACAGGTCTTTAGATCTAGCGAATCAACCATCATGATCAAGTCACACTTTAATAATTTCAATCAAACATATAATGACATTATGGTAAATATTTGAACATATAGTGTTCAAATATGTGTATTTGACTAATTATTAAAGTTATATTAGTCATTAAATCAATTAACAATTCTGGCTCTCTCTCACACTACCTACTAAACACACACTACACTCACGCACATACCTGCCGCACGCACACACACTTCGGCGACAACACCACTTGCCCGTTGATTCCTATTAGTCGTCCGCCGGCGAGAGACTGCCATCGGCCAGAGAAACTCGCCACCAGCAGCACCGCGGCCATCAGCAGCTCCTCTGTCGTCCTTCGCTAGATTAATGGCTGTCGGAGACGTCCGTCGTCAGCCACATCCCGAAGTTTGACGCCGGCCACGTGAGGATCTGCTTCAATGCAAATTCGCTCGGCGGTATACCGCCGCTTCAGGCCGCGCAACCCCCCTCCGACCTGCTAGACGCCTTTGGGATGGTCGCAGCAAGCGTGAGGATCCCGACGCCGTCATCACCAGAGTTCAAGCGTCATTGGACGACCGGCGGTGGCAAAATTCACGACGAGAGATGAAATCATTTAAGTGTTAGTGGTGAATGTGAGAAGTAGAGGTGAGCAATGGTGCGGTTTGGTAAAAAACCGCATCGAACCGCAAAAAATCGAAAACCTAACTTAGCAAAAAAATTAACCGAACTGCTCTGCAACCTTAAATAAAAAACGACCAAAACCAAACCGATTTTATTTTACACTAATATAATCGAACCGAACGGCACCGAAATGCACGGTTCGATTTGGTTTTTGGTTTTAGTTTGATTTTTCTATACATTTCGTTCAATTTGGTGCGGTTCGATTCAGTTCAAAACCGCACCGAACCGAAATAACCGAAAATGAATTTATCGAAAATTATAACAGCACCGCACCGCACCACAATGTAGGAAATAGCCGAACCGAAACCAACCGAATTATTTTTACATTAAAAAAACTGAACTGAACCTCACTGAAATGCACGGTTCGGTTTGATTTTTCGATTTCAGCTAGGTTTTGCTCACCCCTAGTGAGAAGAAATTATACAGAAAAATGTTGTAAGATTTTGGGGCATACATTAGAGATGACGGCGACGGACGTGATGACGGCGGCGGCGATAGCTGTGGCTGTGAGAATGTTGTTAGCGCTCATAGTAGTCGGCAGCGGCATAGACGGGTATCGTCCTGAGTCTGTGAAGGATTTTACAGATTTAGGTTGAGGGGCTAATGTTTGTAAATTTTATAAGTCCTAAGGACTTGATTGCAATTTCAAAAATTTTAATATATTATAATTTGAATTCATGGGTAAAATTTATAATTAATCAAACTATAATAAATTTCATTTTTCTTATTTAATATAAGCTGAAAATAAATATTATGTTCATGAAAAATATAAAAAAAAACGATAATAAAATCTTT